AACTTAAATTTTGCATAATTTAACCTTCTATATGTTTTCTAGAAACCTGATTGAGCAGGGAAAGACAAATTAAAATGCTATGTCTTCCACAGTACAGTATTAAATTAGAATCACAGGCAAAAAAAAAAGTATTATAGTGTTACCAGATATGATTGCACTTGGAAAAATCTAAGCACACATTGTTATGACTTCTTATAAAATACTGATGAAAAATCTAAGTCTCTAGGAAGTAAATTGAATAGTGATTGTCATTACAAGGTATAGTTTAAAGAATATAACCACAAAGGTGTACTTCTGCCCTTCTCCTGGGGAAGGACAACACTGAGTGGCCTTGTGTTTGAGTTATGTTTCCAGTGATGTCAATGCATTTGTTTCTGACATTTACCTATGTTTACCACACTCACCTTCAAAATCAGAGCTAGGATTTCAGCATCTGACCAAAGGACAGGGCACAAAACTATAAAAGATAAGGCTCTGCAAAACTAATCGGAACAATCTTACGACAATAGATCTTCATTGCCATTATATAAATGTTTACCAGAACACAAAGTCATAGTCTTAATAAAGTTCTACTCTGGAATATTTTAGCAAGAAGCAAATTGAAACAGGGAAAATATGAAAGAATAAAGATTAAAGATTCCCATCAACAAGCTGCAACCCTAAAAACAAAACCAATCATAATCTTTTTAAATGAAAGGAATGGAGTAAAATTAGAACTCACTGGAACCAAAGGGGTATCTTCTATAGGAAACTTCGAATCATCTAACAAAGACAAAGGATCCTTTTTCTCGCAGCTCTCCTGGCTGATGAGTGTGTCGGCATAATTGGGCTGGGGAAAGATCAGATGGCTCTTCCGAGAGTCAGCAGTAAGGGAGACCTCATGGGAATAGGTTTGCAGGAAAGCCCGCACCCCATCCACACCCACAAATTGCGAGGCGGACATGCCCTCCAACCTGCCTCTTGAAGCCTGGAGTAGACGAGATGTGTGCCAGCGGCGGAGTCTGAGCGCCATCAGCATGATGACAAAGGCAAGGAAGACACAGGAGACCGCAGCCACTGCCACCACCAGGTACAGTGTGAGGCTGGAGTCATCAGGGCTGTTGGAAGGTTCAAGACTTTCCAGGTCGGCCAGGACATCTGGGATGCTGTCAGCCACGGCCACAGTGAGGGTGACAGTTGCGGAGAGAGGGGGCTGGCCATGGTCCTGAACTGCCACCACCAGGCTCTGCTTGAGTGCATCTCTGTCCAGCAGGGCCCGCGCAGTGCGCACCTCTCCCGTGTGCAACCCCACCGTGAAGAGTCCTGGCTCGCTGGCCTTGAGCAGACGGTAGAACAGCCAGGCGTTCTGGCCCGAGTCTCTGTCCACTGCCACCACCTTGGTCACCAGATAACCAGGCTCTGCAGAGCGGGGTGCCAGTTCCACACCAGTGGAACCATCAGTGGGAAGAGATGGGTACAGGATCTCTGGAGCATTGTCATTCTGGTCCAGCACAAATAGGCTTAGTGACACATTGCTGCTGAGTGGCGGGTTACCGCTGTCTGTGGCAGTTACCTGCATCTGTAGGTCACGAAACTGCTCGTAGTCGAAGGAGCAAAGTGCATACAGGACTCCTGAATCAGAGTTGATGGAGATATAGGAAGATAGAGGTGCCCCCTGGATAGTGTCTTCAGTTAGAGAGTAAACAATCTGAGCATTCTCTTTGCTGTCAGGGTCTAGTGCAGTCACTGAAAAGATGGAGGCACCCCTTGGGTTGTTCTCTGGAATATAGGTAACGTAGGATACATGAGAGAAGGTGGGTGGATTGTCATTGATGTCTGCCACTTGCAGGGTGAAGTGAGTTTCCATCGACAGGGGTGGACTTCCTCCATCTGTGGCTGTTACAGTAATGTTGTAAGAGGATACCTGCTCCCTGTCAAGAGCTCCATGTGTCACCAATCTATAGTAACTGTCAATGGACTTTTCTAACTTAAATGGTAGATTTCCCGCTATGGAGCAGGTGACCTGTCCATTCTGCCCAGAGTCTAGATCATGCACGTTTAATAGAGCTATAACGGTCCCCAGAGGTGAATCTTCCTTTAGGGGACTAAACAGAGATGTGATAGTCACCTCTGGACTGTTGTCATTCACATCTTCTACTGTAATCAACACTTTTGCAGTTGCAAGATATGCTCCTCCATCTTCTGCCTGTATTTCTATTTCATAGAAGCCTGTTTCTTCATAATCTAGATTTTCTGATATTTTTATTTCTCCAGTATTTTTGTTTAGTTGGAATTTCAGCAATTGTGTATCGGGTAATTTTCGGAATGAATATGTCACTTCTCCATTGGCGCCTTCATCCCTGTCGGTAGCAGTGACTGTCAGCAGCTGTGTGCCCACAGGCAAGTTCTCGGGAACACTCACTCGGTATTCAGGCAAAGTGAAGACAGGTGCGTTGTCATTTGCATCGAAGACAGTGACACTGATGAGGACAGTGCCAGATCGCAGAGGGTCACCCCCATCGGAGGCAGTGAGGACCAGATGGTGCTGTGCCTCTTCCTCCCGATCCAGCGCGCGCTCCAGCACCAGCTCCGGGTACTTGACACCATTGGCACGGCTCTGAACTGCTAGAGAGAAGTGCCTACTAGGGCTGAGCTGGTAGCTCTGTAGGGAGTTCACGCCCACATCCGGATCAACAGCTTCCGGGAGAGGAAAACGCATCCCTGGTGCGACATTTTCATTGATCTTTACATCTAGATTTTCCGCTTGGAATTTGGGGGCGTTATCGTTGATGTCAGTTACTTCTATTTCAATCCCGAAAAGTTTCACCCGATCTTCCACAAGGATGTTAAAACTCACCAGACACCGCGCGCTCTGGGCACAGAGCTCCTCCCGGTCTATCCTGCCCGCCGTGACCAAGCTGCCACTCCGCGGATTCAGAGCAAAAAGCTGCGTCCTACCTCTGGAGACGATGCGGACTCCGCGCTCCGCCAGCTCCCGGGGCTCCAGTCCCAGGTCCTTGGAGATGTTGCCCACGAAGGAGCCTTTCTCTAGCTCCTCAGGCACCGAGTAGCGGATCTGCCGGGCATCAGACTCCCACGGCGCACCGATGAAAAGGAGGAGCAGAACCAGCGCGCTGCGGCCGGAGCTATTCCTTTGAGCGGCCATTGTTGTCACGGAATTCTGGCAATGTCCTCACTGGACACGTTGCGTGTTTTGGCCGGCCCCTCTCTCTTTCTCTGGCTGCAAGGAGTCTCTGTAGGTGGAGCACCTTAAATTCTAAGGTGAGTGTCGCTGCAGCCCGGAGCCGGTTTGTAGGAACTGCGGAGCTTTTGTGTAGTTGGAGTCCTGAGAATCCGGATGGAGCGCTGGCTGTGATTCTTTCCTAGTAGGTGAACAGCGACGCCCAGAGTCCTCAGAAGTTACTGCACCCACTATTTGTACCATAGAAAACAAACGCTACTCTTTGTTGGAGATTTTATTTTATTTTACATTACTTCTTTGATTTCTCGGCTGATATCATTAAATAAACTATTAGTAGGTTTATTTAATGGATAGAATAAATTGGAATGAAAGTACTATACAATGCTAAATGAAAATAGTTCGTGAAATATGTATCTCAACACTTATTTTTTCAACAGAAACATATTCAGAGGTAAGAAATGCTTATTTTACAATATTTCCTATGAGCTTCTAAATATATTCAGAAGTTTTACAATTTTATTTTAAATTTAGATATAAACAATTCAATTATGTCTAGACATTCAGATAGAAACTGAGATATGCCCCTAACAATTTACTTAAAATATTTTTATTTCAGATTTAATTAACTAATTAAGCTTGTTTACTGTTAAGATTGTATAAAAGGTTTTCAAAATATTGCTTTCTAAAGTAGTTTTATTGAGCCTCAATTAATCTTCTTAATGTATCTTATTTGGGATATATATTATTAGAAGTTGATTTGACCTATTTAAATAAATTGAGAAGGTAATAAAAAACTAGAGGGATATGTCTCATGTATTGTAATTGTAATTGGAGGAGATATATGTACAGGAGTTTCAAGTGCTACAATTTAAAAAAAAACTTAGAAATAGTGATGTAGGTTTTAAAAAAATAAGTGTTTATGTCAAATGGCCTGTTTTCATTAGAGCACTAATGCCAATTTAAATATTCTCTTCTTTTAACACTTTGTACTGGAGCCCAAAGTAAAGTGCTACACATACCTTCACTTGTATAATATGTGCCCATCAACCCAGCAGCAGTTCTCCCTTCAAAGATGAAGGGCTTAGAGGTTCACTTCTTTCATACAGAGAACACATATTCAAAGTGTTTATGTCACTATGTCCCACATATGTAACTCTTTATAGATTTTATCTTTAGTTTTCAAAGATTTGTATACCAGACAATCCAAGACAGAGACTGAACACAAAAGGCAAGAACATTTCATTAGCTTTTTTGGAAATTCTTGACCTTGCAATGGAGAGGAAAGAAGATTGGAAGAGTACAACTTAAGCTCCAAAAAGACAAGTAAATATAAGAAGAAAGCCAGAAGGACCAAAGTTGAAGAAAACAATTCAGCCAGAGTAGTTAGTATTAAGTTTGGGGGCCAGCCGAAACCGGTTTGGCTCAGTGGATAGTGCGTCAGCCTGCGGACTGAAGGATCTGGGGTTCAATTCCGGTCAAGGGCGTGTACCTTGGTTGCAGGCACAACCCCAGTAGGGGGTGTGCAAGAGGCAGTTGGTTGATGATTCTCTCTCATTGATGTTTCTAACTCTCTATCCCTCTCTCTTCCTCTCTGTAAAAAATCAATAAAAATATATTTTAAAAAAAGTTTTGGGGACCATAGAAACTGTGGCAATGGAAACAAAATTTTGACACCTCTCCCAAGAACAATACATCATACATCTATAACTTCGCATATAATCTCAGGAATTCATGGATCTTCTCACTTTACCTCTCAAATGCTTACAGTTTTATAAATTATTAAAATAGTGAAAAAAGAAATCTAAAAACACCTATAAGATTGTATGCAATAAAGGTTCTTTTGGAAGGAGCATATGCTTTGATATATAACTAATGCCTGAATATTATTAAACTTTAAAAACATATAAATAGGATATAGAAATTTTATCTTAAATCTTAGCAAACTTAGATTATTATGTATTTATTTGGTAAGAAGCCAAGACCACTGCCTCTGTTTTGCTAATCTCAGCTTGAAAAGATATCTCTAATTGAATAACATTCTTTTTAAATTATAGAGCAACTTCTGAACCAAGTAAAATATCTTGAAAAATATAATCAGCTAAAGTGAACACTGAGAAGACAAGATGGTGATTACTAATGGATTTTCTAAAAATTATTCTAGATATAAAAATGAAGTAGTACACTTGAAATATGAGAAACTAGTAGAATATTACTGACTACACAAAAATGAAACTCACCGGTGTTAGGGTCTCAGGATGCGAACTCAAATCATTCCCACTCTGAAGTGAAATTAAGGCCCCAGAAGAATCACCGCAAACTATGTCTTGAGTGGAATGCAAGGGTTCACTGCATTTTAAGAAATTAAACTCTGTCTTTCCAGCTTGGGCAACACACAGATTGTAGGAATAGGGCAATGTTCCCTCACTGTAGTTGGGGGGAACCCCAAGTCCAGACTTGGAGCAGAGACCAGGTTGAAAGCAGCCCCAAACAGAGGTACTAGAAGGGCGTCGAAGGCGCAGGGCGACCGCCAGAATCACCGAATCACCGCGAGGAGGAAGAGCACTGAGATCAAGGCCAAGGCCACCACCAGATAGAACTGCAGCTCAGCCTGGGGGTCAGAGGGCTGAGGGCTTTCGCTGAGGTCTGGCAGCGCCTCTTGTAGGCTGTCAGCAAAGACCAGCAGCAGAGTGGCAGTGGCTGACAGGGGTGGCTGTCCCCCGTCCCGCACGGCCACCAGGAGGCGCTGGCGGGCCGCGTCCCTGTCGCCCAAAGCTCTGGCGGTGCGCACCTCGCCCGTGCGCAGCCCCAGGCTGAAGAGCCCGGGCTCGCTGGCCTGCAGCACGTGGTAGGACAGCCAGGCATTGTGTCCCGAGTCGGCGTCCACCGCCACCACCTTGGTGACCAGGTAGCCCGGCTGCGCGGCGCGCGGCACCGTGTCGAAGAGCGCGGAGCCGTCGGGCCCCAGCGCCGGGTACAGCACCCTGGGCGCGTTGTCGTTGCGGTCGCCCACCAGCACGCGCAGGCTCACGTTGGCGCCCAGCGGGGGCGAGCCCTGGTCGCGCGCCTGCAGCGTCAGCTCAAAGGCGCGCAGCTGCTCGTGGTCGAAGGCGCGCTGCGCGAACACCACCCCGCTGTGCGCGCTCACGGACACGTAGGACGACAGCGCCCGCGGCTCCAGGTCGCTGGCCACGATGGAGTAGGACACCTGGCCATTTGGTCCCAGGTCGGGGTCCGAGGCGCTGACCTGCGCTATGGAGGCCCCTGGCGGGTTGTTTTCTGGCACGTGGACCAGGTAGGCTGACTGCTGGAAAACCGGCGCGTTGTCGTTGATGTCCCTGATGTATAGGGTGACACTTCTGCTGGAGGAGAGGGGCGGCTTGCCCCTGTCTGTGGCTGTGATGGTGATATTGTACTCCGGGGTCCGTTCTCGGTCCAGGGCCCCATCTGTCACCAGCTTGTAGTAATTATTAGAAGAGGAGTAAATCTTGAAAGGAACGTCTCCTTCTATAATACACATGACTTCGCCATTTCCTCCGAAATCCCTGTCCCGTGTTTTGAAGAGGGCCACGACCGTCCCTGGTTGGGAATCCTCCAAAATCTCATCCGAGAGAGAAGTGATGATTATTTCTGGGCTGTTGTCATTTTCATCCAGGATTTCTATTATTACTTTACATTGGGCGGAGAGACCACCTCCATCCTTTGCTTCCACTTCCATGGTGTATCTTTCCATATCCTCAAAATCCAATGACTGGTTATTCTTAATCATGCCCGTTTTCTCGTCTAATGAGAACATGTGCCTCGTACTGTGAGCGGTGCTCCTGAAGTAGTAGCTTATTTCGGCATTGGCCCCCTCGTCCTGATCAGTGGCTGTCACCTGCAGCACGGAGGATCCGGGGGGCAGATTTTCACTTACACTGACTCTATATTCATCCTTGCTAAATACCGGGGGGTTATCATTGGTGTCCCTGACAAAGATTTCTATTCTAACGGTGGCACTTCGTGGCGGGTCCCCTCCGTCCAAGGCCGTCAGTATCAGGCGATGAGACCGCTGCACCTCCCGGTCTAGGGGTTTCTCCAAAGACAACTCTGGGTATTTGCCGCCATCGGAATTAACTCTAACCATTAACTTGAAGTAAGAGTTAGGACTTATATGATAATCTTTAACTGAGTTCATGTTTATGTCGGGATCAGTGGCAGGGTCAAGGGATATTCGTGCACCTGGGGATACAGATTCAATAATTTCTAAATGTATGTCCTTTTTATGGAATTGAGGGGCATGGTCATTAATATCCTCAACAGCCACAATGACATGAAAAATGTTTAAGGGATTTTCCACCACTGCTTCCAACTGCAACTCACAGCTTCTTCTCTCTTTGCAAATCTGCTCGCGGTCTATTCGGTCCTTCACCAGTAAGTCCCCGCTCTCCCTGTCTATACTGAAAAGCAGCTTCTCCGCGCTCACTCGCAGCTTCCGAGCTGACACTTCCAGGACACTGAGCCCTAGGTCCTTGGCGAGATTCCCCACCACCGAGCCCTTGGCCAACTCCTCAGGAATCGAGTAGCGGATCGGCTCGCAGAACGCGCGGTAGAACAAAAGCAGCAGGAAGGGGAAAAGTACCTGCGGCCGGCCGGCCCCGCCTCTAAGCGCGCAGCTCCCTCCCATCGCGAGCTCCAGTTCTCGTTGGGTCCTACTCTTTCTGGAAAGCCAAGAAACGCAAGCCACAGAGTCACTGGTAGAGCATTCGTCCTAGGACAGATAGCTGGGAATCCGTTCGTGCAGAAGAGTCTGCGCGGCTAGGAGCCTCACTGTGGTAGGGGGTTTCCTTCTTTCTGTGTCGGTGGCTGCGCAGGAAATCCTAAGCTATCGGCGGAAGAATGCCGGCCGTCAGCAGCGCTCGCCCTGCACTGGCCGACAGCGGCGCCCAGAGGCTCTGTGTGGAACTGCAGTCTGGCATTTTACTCTTGAATCCAATTTATCTCCAGAAGATATCTCTCTCTTCAAAAGTGCAGTTATATAATAGCCCCCAATTTTTGTTTACATAGGATGCCTATATATTTAGTGTTTTCACGAAATTTATTATGGGATAATTCAAATTTATACTAAAGCAGAGAGCATTATTATTGAATCTTCATATACCCATTACCCAAATGCAACAATGATTAACAAAAGCCATCTTTGTTTAATATATATTTCCTTCTCTCATTATTTTGAAGCAAATCCAAGATATTTTAATCAGCGCCGCTGGTGTAGTGGTATCATGCAAGATTCCCAAATCCAAGATATTTTAATTAACTTCTCTTAAGATGAGACATTGAAGTGATAATACTTTTACCTTTTTAAAAAGATTTTTAAAAATCTTTAATCATATTGTTACCCGTGCAAAAGTCCTACCTAGTTTAAGAAAACTATAATTTAACATTTTCCACACTCTGCCCAGTCATTCCTCCAGTGATACTTGTGTTCTTTAAAGGCAGTGACTTTTTCCCTAAAGAATACTAGTTACCTACCGTGACATAGAAACCTTCATCAATAGCATTTTTCAAATTAATATATATTTTAATATTGGTAAATACTAAGTAATAAAGATTACTCCCCAGGACAGAAGCTTTAACCAAAAGATTTCCTTACTGCATGGTTAAAAATATGACTATAGGTGATGGTTTACTTTTTTCCTACTACCTTAGGAATAGAGAATATTTGAAATGATTATAATGTCTGCATGTCATAATAGATTCCCAGACATATAAGCCTTTGTATCCAGCATGTGTAGAATAGCATTTTGAGTCTACCGCAAAGCCTCCTAGAGTGTCATTTATTATTGGAACTGAGAGTATGTGTAAAATCAAATTAAACAACACATTATTCTTTTCTTGATAGCTAAAGCAGTAAAGTATTGTTTGAACCTTCTTAGCAGTTCCTGAAAATATTTTTCTAAATAATTTCCCATAACCAGATTTATTTCTAGCCTCAAAAGTTGAAGAACTCAGCCATAAATAATATAATCAAAGGGTACTTTTTTATTTCCCTTGCTTTCACCTCTCAGAGTGTTCAGTCTCAGAAACCCCTCTTGATCAAGCATAAAGTACGTATAGGAAATAAGAGTTTAAATGCAAACAATCTCTACACACATTAGACTGAAAAAGTCACCTAAAAAATGTTGTCCTGTCATAGAAATAGAAAAGCAGAAGCAGTAAACCTGAGCCTTCAGTTGTTTCTCTGAGAGAATGCAGTTGCCTTCTCATTAATTTACCCTTACAAGATAGTATTGACTATAGTAATTTTTTTATATAAGAATTCCACAATGTAGCCATTGGATATAACAATAAGTTTCAGGAATGAAAAACCAGCCTTAAAATTAGTAGTGAACCAGGATAACTAATAAAGCAACCTCATAAAAAAAAAACAACAAAAAAAACCTCATGTTAACCCCAGATCATGAAAGCAGTCCCAAAAGAAAGGTTTCATTGACCCAATTAATTATTATGAGAAAATGCAAATTATATCAGTGATGCAACCAATAAATGCATTCTATAGATATTAGAACAAAAATTTAAATGGTGAAAAATATGTTATCAACAACATATCTTACCTTAAGTACAAACACTTGGAAAGAAAAGCAATTATAATAGAAAGAAAGAAAAAATGGAACTCACTGGAACCAAAGGAGTGTCTTCTATAGGAAATTTTGAATCATCTGAAAGACACAAAGGATCCTTTTTCTCACAGCTCTCTTGGCTGATGAGTGTATCTGCATAGTTGGGCTGAGGGAAGATCAGGTGACTCCTCCTAGAATCAGCAGTGAGGGACACCTCACGGGAATAGGTCTGCAGGAAAGCCTGGACCCCATCCATGCCCACAAAGTGAGAAGCCTGCATGCCGGCCAATCCATCTCCTGAAGCCTGGAGCAGACGTGATGTGTGCCAGCGCCTCAGCCTGAGTGCCAGCAGGATGATAACAAAGGCAAGGAAGACACAGGAGACCGCAGCCACTGCCACCACCAGGTACAGAGTGAGGTCTGAGGCCTCCGGGGTCGAATGGATCTCAAGACTACTCAAGTCAGTCAACACATCTGGGATGCTATCAGCCACAGCCACAGTGAGTGTGACAGTGGCAGAGAGAGGGGGCTGGCCATGGTCCTGAACTGCCACCACCAGGCTCTGCTTGAGCAAATCTCTGTCCAGCAGGGCCCTCGCGGTCTGCACTTCACCTGTGTGCAGCCCAATCACGAAGAGCCCTGGCTCACTGGCCTTGAGCAGGCGGTAGGACAGCCAGGCATTCTGGCCTGAGTCTCTGTCCACCGCCACCACCTTGGTCACCAGGTATCCGGGCTCTGCAGAGCGGGGTGCCAATTCCACACCAGTGGAACCATCAGTGGGGATGGCGGGGTACAGGATCTCTGGCACATTGTCATTCTGGTCCAGCACGAACAAGTTCAGTGACACGCTGTTGCTGAGGGGTGGGTTCCCACTATCATTTGCCCTAACCTGCATTTGGAGGTCTCGAAACTGCTCATAGTCGAAGGAACAAAGCGCATAAATCACACCAGTATCTGCGTTGATGGAGACATAGGAGGAGAGAGGCACCCCTTGGATGGTGTCTTCCTCCAAGGAATAAATAATTCGGGCATTCTCATTGCTGTCAGGGTCATGGGCTGTCACAGAGAAGATGGAGGTTCCTCTAAGGTTGTTCTCCAGGAGATAGGCTGAGTAGGAGGTTTGAGAGAAGGAGGGTGGATTATCATTGATGTCAGCCACATGCAGAGTGATGTGAATTTCCGTGGACAGGGGTGGTGTTCCTTTGTCTGTCGCAGTCACTGTGATATTATATTCAGAGATTTTTTCTCTGTCAAGAATTTGGGATGTCAACACTCTATAGTAATCTTCTATTGACTTTTCTAATCGAAAAGGTTGGGTCTCCTGGATGGAACAAACAACTTGACCATTCTTCCCAGAGTCTTGGTCATGAGCATTGAAAAGAACGATGACTGTTCCTTGAGGAGCATCTTCCCTAACTGGACTGAACAGAGATGTAACGATCACTTCCGGTCTATTGTCATTTACATCTTCCACAGAAATGAGCACTTTTGTCCATGCCTTCAACCCTCCACTGTCTTCAGCTTGTATTCCCATTTCATAAGATGCACATTCTTCATAATCTAGATTCTTTGCTGTCGATAGTTCCCCAGTTTTCTCGCTGAGCTGAAATACCAGAGATTGTTTTTCACTAATTTTCCAGAATTTATATGCCACTTTTCCATTGATTCCCTCATCGGGATCACTAGCTCTTACAGTAAGCAGCTGGGTGCCAGGGGGCACGTTCTCTGGGACTGTCACTCGGTAAATTGGTTGGGCAAACACCGGAGCATTATCATTCATATCCAACACTGTCACTAGGATGTGCACTGAGCTGGAGCGAGGAGGCTCGCCTCCATCAGACGCGATGAGGACCAGATGGTGAGCAGCCTCTTCCTCTCTGTCCAAGGCCCGCTCCAGCACCAGCCCTGGGTTTAAAGTCCCGTCTTCTCCAGTTTGCACGTCCAGAGAGAAATGGTGATTGGGGCTGAGCTGGTAACTCTGCAGGGAATTCAAACCCACATCCGGGTCAACAGCCTCTGGGAGTGGATAACGAGTGCCAGGCGCAGCAATTTCGTTAATATTTATTTCCAGATTTTCTGCCTGGAATTTTGGGGCATTGTCGTTCATATCAGTGACTTCTATTTCTATCCCATAAAGTTGCACTCTGTCTTCAACCAGAACTTTAAAGTTAAACAGACACCGTGGGCTCTGGGCGCAGAGCGCCTCCCGGTCTATCCTGCCCGCCGTGACCAAGCTGCCGCTGCGCGGGTTGAGAGCAAAAAGCTGCGTCCTACCTCTGGAGACGATGCGGACTCCGCGCTCCGCCAGCTCCTGGGGCTCCAGCCCCAGATCTTTGGAGATGTTGCCCACAACATAGCCTTTTACCGTCTCTTCAGGCACGGAGTAGCGGATCTGGCTGGCCCGGATCTCCCACAGCCTTCCCAGGAAAAGCCAGAGCAGGACCAATCCTCTGCAATGCCGGCTATTCATCGGAGCCGCCATTGTTGCTTCGGGTCCGGATATTTCCCCCTTCCGACTGCTTTTTGCCCACGCTGACTCCTTAGGTTCTTTTCTCCTCCTGCAAATTATGGTCGTCCTTTTCCTCAGGAGAAACCCGGAGTGCCCCAAGTGAGGAGGCTGGGTTTTGTTGCCTCCCGGGGTTGGTAAGTGGAGTCTGCGGGGGCTTTGTGTAGCTGGCAGATTCTAATATCCGGATGGAGCGCTGATTGAGTTTTTCCTTGAGTTGGTGAACAGCGGCGCTCAGAGTCCTAAGCAGTTACTACACGCACAGATATGCAATACAGCACTTTTATCACAGATGATTGAGGAAAAACACCACTCTCTTCTAGTTATGATTTTAGATTTCTCTATTTCTTACGTTCACATTTCAAAAGCAATCATTTTTGTGGATGTCTTGGTGGAATGAAGTGGAATGAAATTTCTATTAAGTGTATTATTAAATCACCAGTTTTCTTAATATCAAATTAACTTTAATTTTGGGTACAGTTTGGCTTTCTCTCTATTTTAAATTTTAGA